TTTTATTTTATTAAATATTAATATTTAAATTTAATATTAAAAAATAAAAAATTGATATTAATTTTATTACCAATATCATATGAACTATTTAAAATAATTAATTGATTAAATAAATGTTAATTTTTGTTCTTTTCATATCAATTAATATAAAAAATATATAATAATCATACTATTAATTGTAAAAAAACACATTAGTTATTAACCCCCAAGCTAATATTCTAGTAACCTTTTAAGTTATTGGTAGATTTAGACTTTTCCCTAACAAGAAATCGTTAACTCTAATTGAGGTCAAGAGTTGATGACGAAAAATTTACTGACTAACTTATAGTCAAACCATTTCCTTTGCATAATTTTAAGGTTAAATATCAATTTTAATTTTCAAACTTTTAATTTTGAATACTTTTAAACTTTGAGCTATTTTATGTATTCTTTTATCAAAAACCATGAAAAATACATTTTTTTTATTATTCCACCAGTTAATCTAATAAATTTATACATACACAATTTTAGTCTTAAGATTTATAAGTTTAAAGATTAAAAATATACTTATATTATAAGTTTAGAAATTAAAAAATATATATATATATATATACATATATATTTAAATAGATTTATCGACTACCACACTAAAATATGCATTTTTCATAATTTTGGGATGAAAAAAGTATAAAAAATAATTTTGGGACTAAAATGTTCAAAATTCAAAACTTAAAGACTAACAGCATTTTACCTAATTTGAAACTCACGAATTGAAATTCTGAAATTTGTAAATATTCTTTTGAGTCTGCTCTTTTGCTTTTTGAATTGCCTGCACAACAAGCACTTTCTTCCTCATATAAACCCTTTTCTTGTGGCCAATAAACGAAACACTTCCTTTCCTTTACTACAATTTTCAATCCAGAGTCCAGAGTCCAGACATGGTATAAAAAATTAAAGATGCATTTTTTATAATTCACCAAATAGAATGCACTATTTATAATGCTCAAGGAACATTATGGATGGCCAATCCAAGCAGCATACGAGACTACTTCGTTCAGTTCAGCAAATACTATTAAAGATCTTCATCCACGCATAAGATAGATCTGAGAATAATTTGGTACCTGTCATCTGCATCTGGAACTCCAAACCTACAGGTTCTCCAACTTCAAATGAACATTATTTTAAACTCTTCAAAAATGTACTCACTGCAGAATATTCAACTTCTGATTTTGATGCAAGTATTGCTTGTTTCATAACCACTTTCTCCAACTGGCTGATCTTCTGTCACCAGAGAGAATCCTGGGAAGGCTTAATAAACTATTAACCCTGGTGATGCCTTCTAAGGCTGACCACTCCTCATCATCAGTAACTGAAATGCACTCTGCGAGGCTCCTCTTGGACTGGCCTGAACACTTTCCTGAGAACGTTGCCTCCGTTGGCTCAGAAACAGGGACAATCTCATCAAAACTTCCTTGAGGACTAGAATGCTTCGGGCTAGGAGCATTAGAATCCACATTATTCTCATCAGTTACCACCATCACTGCTGATTCCTTATGAGCTATCATGTTTTTTTCTTCTGGAGATCCACTTTTTAAATGTAGATCATCTAGAAAGAGGCATACAACAGCACAATCATCATTCTTGGAAGTAGGGTATTTAAGCCTCCATGCTCGAGTAGCGCAATCTACAAGAGCTCTGGCTGCTGTTGCATGGCTAGGGGCTGAAGCCACAATATCTACTGCTTCTTTATTTGAGAGAACATCCCAAACCTATCAGAAAGAGATTTGAGACTTCAGATAATATCTATTAACTTCTCGAAGAAGGACATAAGGAACAATTAATTCATTCTCTTGATGGCAGCAGGAAGGTAAACTTTCATTGTTTGACACATGAAGAATACTCGGTAATTGCTTAAACCTAAACAACTAAAATAGTAAAATGCACCCAAAAGAATCTAAATACTTATTATCACATTGTGAAAACACAAAAACTATGAAAAGATATTGAGAATGATGCAGAGGACGGAAGCTATGGGAAACTAACTCATCAACTTAATACACAATTTTTTAGTAAATCAAATATGAAGAAAATACCCCATCAGTAGCAAGAATAATGAATTCATCTCTTTCAGTAAGGTGGTGATAGAAGATATCCGGGATGGAAATCAAACCAAAATCCTTCAGACAGAAGTCTCCAAAAGCTCTGGCCATTGCCAAACCAGGTGAGTCATTATTAGGTAACCATACACGTGCAACCTCTGGTTCATCCTGCAGGGCAAAGACCCTTCCTTTACATTGCTGGATCCTTGCAGCTTCCCCTAAAATGGTGGTGCATGTTATCATCAGTCATTCCCATAGGAAAAACATAAAATTTGTCTGTAGTCTGTGCATGAGTGTGTGTGTGTGTGTGTGTGTGTGTGTGTGTGAGAGAGAGAGAGAGAGAGAGAGAGAGTGAGACTTGGCAGATCAGGCTTCAAGTCAACTGTCAATTGCATAGCCATCAAAGAGTTATCTTTGTCTCTCATTGCCAGCACCGCTCTTGAGTCACCAACATTTCCAATTACAAGATCCTGACCCTGAAAAGATATTAGTTCCAATGAGGTTAGAATATGATGAATTGGTGTTCATACCTCTGAAGTTCATCTTAACAAACATGACAATTTATACAACAAGACCTATGTCAAGCTGATAAAAAAAGGACGTATGTTAATATGAACAATCTTAAAAAGCCAGATTTAATGTTGACTATTGTAATTTGCATATAATCTAATCTCTGTTAGCAAGCTAAGAAAAAGTTAACTGCTTATCATGATACACTTCTGTCTTCATATAGAGAAATTTGATCCAAACCTATAAAATGAGCCCAAAATTAAAGGGTTATCTTAGAGATACAGCATGATTTCTTGGCCTTGATATGAGGTTGTTTTTACCAAAGTTATCGATCAAAACTGGGAATTATATCTGAAGGTAAACTCATTCAAACAAATGACTGATATTAAACTTTAGTAGCTGAATTTTTTTTTTTTTCAGTTAATCTAGCGTAATTGTGATTCCAGTATGATGTGAATCTATTATATCCACCTTCATGACAATTGCTTCAGAGATTCTTAAATAAAACACAAATGAACTAACCATTTTGCTTTTCCTTTATACTACAGACTATGGAAAGATTATATGATGAAATGAAAGTAGCAAATTCGATCAGCTTAATCCATAGTGTTCTCATTAAGTGAAATTGAAAGAGGTGGGCAGGAAATATAAATAAAATGAACCAAAATTTGTAAAAGATAATCAGCCTCCTTAGATTGCAAGAGCAAGCTCAATAAACCTAAGTCAAAGCAACATAATTAGCTTCATTCAGAATTTTCTCAGTCCATTAATAAGGAACACCACTGGGTTGGCAATATATGCAAGCAAACTGTCAGACTAATACGAGCCAAATAATAATAAAGCCATTATCCAAAAAGAGATATAAAATATATCTTGAGATCAATCCGAAAATGGTAACAAAGGAAAGAATAAGGACAAACTAAATGACTTAAATTTGGTATTCAAACTACAGCTTTGTTTGAGAGTGCTGTGCTGTGGCAGTAAATTTTTTTGGCTTTTCCTATCACAAAAATATATAAAATATTAATTAAAATTACTAAAAATATATAAAACACTAATTAAAATTAATTATTTATAACAAGTTTACATTTTTAGATACAGTGCTGCAGGGAAAAGTGTTGTGTCAAGCACGCCCAAACAAATCCCACATGGGAAGATGCAAAAGCCAAAAATAAACAGTTTTCATGCTTACAGGTACAGGTAAGATATTAGAGGAGAACATAGATATTTGCAAAATGATAAAATTAGAGTGTTGGATGATATTTATGAGTAATACCTGCTTTATCAAAATAACAGCAGTTGAGCCACTGCAGAAACAATCAATTGTTGGGTGCAACTTTAATTCCTTGTCCATCAACTTGGAGGCCTTCAGTATAGACTGTTTAAGTTGCCAATACAAATCAGGGAGTTGTTCATTTTCTTCAATATCTAACAACTCAGAGCACTCATCGTCCATGCTCAAAGATGCAGCATCCTCAGAAACAGTTGTCTTACATAGATTGATCTCATCACCAGCAGAAATACCATTCCATTGGGTACACAGGATGAGAGGAAGAGAATCCCGAACTTTATTAGCAACCATATGACCATAAGGACCATGACCATCAAATACCCCACAGAATACTGTATCGTTCCTTGAACTGAAATTCTATTATAGAAACATTCAAACCAAGTCTTCATATATAGAGGCCATGAGCAAAAAGAGAAAAAAGAAGATGATTAAATGTTTGAATCTAGAGGGGAAAAATCTACAGTAAAAGACTAGGTTAGACTAAAGTCGAGGCAACAATGCAGGCAACATATTAGGAATATTTCAAGGCAACAGAAGAAGTAAACACGCATGATCAGTGTTTTTATCTTGTTCAGGTTTTTTTTTTTATATATATATACATCTTTTGGTAAAAACTAACAAGTTACCATCCACAATATGAAAACTAAATGTGTTTGCTTTGAATTCACTACAGCTGAAACTTGATTCACTTCAATCCTCATCCAGCCACATTCAGTAAATAATCTGGGAAAGATTTGAGGTAAAACATCAAGGAAATGACAAAAATGAAAATGAAACACTAACCTCCCAAACGAGCATGGCATCCTGATTGGTACCTTTCTTGCCCTGCTGCGTATACAGGCATGCAGACTTGGTAGCACCGTTGATAAACATCCTCCCAGTCCCAGCTATATTCCGGAGGTCTGCCTCATCCATGGACCTTGACCAATCTGCTTTCTTTCTCCATCTACGCGACCCTTGCCTCTGCTTCTGCTTCAAGGGTGAAGCACATGCTGCTTCTGTAGCTGTAGCTGTAGATTTAGCCATCCCGCTACCTCTGGCTTTGGAGTAGCAAGAACCCATCTCCAAATCCAAATCCCCCTCCCCAATCGTATCAAATCGTAGAAAAACCCAATCCCAATTTAAGGCAAAGCCACCGTCTTTACTGTTGACAACTCCCCCTATCAACTATTGCTAATTCAGTTAGGATTTTAAAATGGGTTAGGTTTCAAGTTTTTTTTTTTTTTTTTTTTGGGTGCCAGGTCTGATAATTACTCCGAACATGTCTAATAATTTTTTTTTTT